GAAGGGTTTAGTTATCAGTCATATTGAAACAAAAAGTTCGCCTTTTCGGGAGAATGATTGTAAGCATAAACAAAGAACTGATAACGTGCAAAAAGTATTCTCTGAAAATAAATTCTCGACAGAGAGCAATCCTGATAACTGAAAAACTGACATTAAACAAGCTGTTATGACGAAAAAATGACAATTACATAAATTAAATTAAATATCAGCTTTTATAGTTATCTAATGATCTAAAAACAGGCATTTAATTCCTAAAAACCTACACCTAAAACGTTTTCTACAGGGTAACTTCATGCCTATATTATATTCTAAGTGTGAAAGCCTTCGCACCTATACATAAACAAGACTGTAACACAAAATGGTGCTTCAAAAATTACCAAGCTCTTGGTTATAAGAAGTTTCACTACGATCAACCTTGGCTACCTTAAACGTTGGATTAAGTTATCTATCGCACTTGTTATACCTTACAGATGCACAGCCCCTATGTGCAGACAATATGTGTTTTTGCTATGATTCTATTTTCTAATTCGAGTAAACTTTTAAATTATTCTCATTTATTTTGAAAAAATATGTGTCTGATTGAGCTTAAACTCTCTAATTATACTATCTCGCACATGAAAAATAGTTGAAAAATACTAGAAAAACTGACAGCAAAGAAGATACACAAAAATGGATATATAGGATATCATTTGCATTCTCTCAGAACAAAAAGTGTGGAAACACATACAGAGGAAAATTGAAAATATTTACACCGTTATTATTTGCTCAAAATATCTGAATGACACTGATTAATGATAGAGTAAAATAAACAAAATGGCAAAAAAAGTAGTCAATAAATTTATACGGACAACAGAAAATGAAATAAAAAACTTGATACAAAAAGAAAAAGAAATTTAAATATATACTTGAACAAGCCCTCGTTCACCTTTGTCCGCAAAACCCAAAAATATTTCATCATTCGGACCGATTGTCATTGCATTCAACGTATTCGCTTCTAAAATAGAACCGAAAAAATGTGAAATAACTACTACAAGTACCAGACTATGAACAATTTTTATCTCACAATCATTCTATTAACGAAGCAATCGAATAAACGATACATACCTATTTCTCTAAGTTCTTTTCCATTTTTACTTATTTCAATTAATTTTCTTGCGGAATGTTGTCTATATCTCGAATCTTTTCTTATCACTTGTTTATTACGTTTATTTTCGGTTAAGGTCATCAATAAATTATTATCTTTCAATATGATCATATCTGAAATATTCCATGATTGTTGAGTATTTTTATATGTATTTATTAATTCTTTAGTATTTTTATCATATAATCTAATTGTATGGCTATCTCTATCAACTAAACCAATTGTTTGTTGATTTTCAGCCATATGATTAGGTTCAAACTTTTCATTTTCATCATTTGTTTCATTAAAATCTAAATATATTTTCATATTTTTTAAATAACTGGTTATTTGTTCGGGAGTTTTGGGTAATGAATAATAATATAACGAATTATTTATCGAATTAATACCCCATAGACAATCGTACGATGTATCAGCAATCAATTTTCGTATGGGATATGATTGATACGAACCATCAACTTGTGTGCCATTATGTCCAAATACATAGATCATGCCACCAATATCACTGCAACGACCTAAAGACAAACAAAAAAAAGGAAAGAATTAATTATAAAGTCAATCAAACTTTAAACGTACGCACCATTTTCACCTCGATCCAATATTTGAATGCCAGCTTTAATTAAAGGAGCCTTTTGTTCCTCATTTGCTTTTTGTTCAAAACGTCGAACATAGGTTATGATATATGTTTGATAAACGGTGAATGATTCTAACGTTAAACGACAATTACGCTTAAATAATTCTAATTCACGAATATACACTGGTAAATATTTATCTATGGGTAATTGGATAGAATAAATCTGAACACGAGCGCCATATTCATCACAGATAAAAATATTATATGATCTGTTGTTATTATCAAGTAAACATAAAAAATGAGGAATGTCAGACGTTTTTAATGACCATACACACATGTCGTTTGGAACCAATGTAAACATCTGTGAAAATGGACGTTTTACTACTATTGGCAAGTGTAATCCATTATTTGTCGTTATTGGTGAATTACGTTTTGTCGATTGTACGAGCCGTTGTACATCTGTTTTCAGATTTGGTTGTAGTTGTGAAGGCGTTAGTCGCCAATTAATACGAAGAGGAGGAATTGGTGAAGCCAATTCCTTGGGATTATAGAAGCCATCCAGTTCTCTACAAAAGCAAAAGGAAGCACGCACTCATAACAAAAACTCAGTCTAATATATTACTTTTTGATTGATGGCTTTGTCGACGATGATAAATTTTGATAATTTGAGATTGACGTTGTATTCTGCACTTTTGGTGATAGTCGTTCATTGTACTTATTTTTTGTCGATAATGGAGTTGTTATTAGTTTTGATGGAACTTGAAATTTTAGATCACCAAGTAATTTTGCTGGAGAATCGAAATCTGGCGGTGATAAATAAGCAATTGTTATTTCTTGTGTTTTAATATGATCTTTTTTATTTTCCAAATTATCAAGAAAACGATCAATTCTTTGAAGATGATTTACTAAATTCTGGATCGAAGATTCAATCGAAAGGATATGTGCTATATTTTCATTAATTGACTGATACTCTTGTTTAATATCATCGTTTTTGAAATTTTTTTTAACTGGAGTTATATGATCATCAAGCCGTTCCAAAATATTATCACGTTCATTTTCGATCATGTTAATCAAATCTGTTGCACGTTGTTCAACAGTTATTCGTATCATTTTTAATTCATTAACAACTGACGTTATATTCTTCTCGGCTTTGCCTAAGCAAAATTAGGCGTCATTTAACTTAATATCAAGAAACCACATTCAAGAAAATAACAAGATTTTAAAGAACTCTTCTTCTCTCTTGCCACTCTAGGCCTAGTGGATATATAGCACTCATCTTGTTAGTAGAAAAAACTTTTCAACTTATTTTGTGATGTTCGTGAAGTATCCAAACAATTTTGACTTACTCAATAGTTCATTATTAATAGCAAATTGTTGTTTGCATTTTAACCATTTTTTATTAATTCTTTCTGTTACTTCTGCTCGATGTTTATCCATACATTTATCACAAATTTCTTCATTGCAATGATCACAAATAAATAAATAATTTGATTTTTTCGAACAAATTTTACACGGCGGTTGCGCAAAAGCAATCTGTTTTTTCTGTGATGTCGTATGTAAAGGAATAACTTGATGATGATTGTTTTCACTGGATTTAACTACTTTAGGATTAGCTTTTCGTCTCAAATAATATTGAACCATTTCGTTTATAAACGAATCGACGACTAACGAACGTTCGAGTTCGTCTCTTGTTCGAAATATATGTTGGACATCACATTTTGCACATTGAATTGATAATTCTGTTGATATAAGTTTTGTTTTAATACAAATGTAACAAAACGAATGACCACATTGTAATTGACGAGGATCAACAAAACGTTCGTGACATTGAGCACATAGTGTCAGCTGGTCAAGAACTGGATCAGAAAAAGCCATCAAAAACAATCTGGAAATCAAAAATATGTGCACAGTAAGAAATAAAACGAAGAAAAAGAATTGAGCATGTTTATATCACTTGAATAGTATCGTTTACTATTCTTATTGCATTTCAAGAATTCCATCCAAGACTGATATCCAAAGCGTTATGGTATGATTTTAGTAAGGACGAGAAAGCACTTTTTGTAACAGCACAAGAAGGCACTAAAAAATATCGATTATAGTCTAGTAGCATCTTCGATTTAAAAGTTTAGAATGATAAAACAAGCTGATAGATTGAACAATCGTCGACTAGTTAATAATTCTTGCCTTGTGCGCACAATTTCTCGATCGAGATACGTTGTTTCCTTTTAGCTTCAAATAGTAGCTCCAAGGAGAGACTATCTACGTCAATTTACATTGATTCTGGCACATTGGAGCTACAAGAAGACAACGATCGAGAGAGATGACCATTCGAGTTTCACGATGGGATGAAAGAGGGCGACGTTCAGAGTGACAATCTCTCTTCACGAGCACGTATTACGAACGCATTTTTTTTATTTTAGAATCAGCATACGTAAAAACTGTCCTCACACTAATCTTAGAATATTCAGAAGCGTAAAAAGGAGTAGCGTTGCTTTTCTTCTAAGATTTTCGCCTTTTTCTCAGCGCAAAACAATAAATATGATCAGGCGTTCATAGGTTCCACTTTATTCTGAAAAATTTAATACGACAATTTTTCTCAAGCACATGACTTTCTTGAATTTCTTGAGTAAGAATCTCATGGCGCAGAGAGATTTCTTACCCATGTAAAACACATTTTTTTGGAAGTCATGCTCTTAACTTGTTTAACTCATCTGCTTAAGTTTTGTATCTCAATAAACTTGTGCGCATGAAATTCTTGTCGCAAGTGCTTGAATATCTCATTGACTCTCCTTAGTAATTCTTTTGCCTCATGTGCTTGATTTTCTTGACTCAATGAATTTATGCGCTTGAGTTTCTTGAGATCAAGCGCGTACTTTATTAGGACTGCATCAAACACTACATAAGCGTATTTTGTCTTTCTTTTTCTATCTTCACATATATATCCTATTGTATCCTTTCGTGTTCCCGTTGTTTTTTTCGAATGTGATGTATAGAAACAGCTGAGTAGATGTCTGTATATATATATATATATATACACGTGTATTCTACATGACAATGTTTTAAACAAGCTAGATCCATCCCTGTCCCACTAAAGATGTATTTCTGCCTGAAACATGTACACAGTTAAATCATGTGTCGTAAACAGAGTTGCCAGATGGTCCGCATTTTGCGGACAAATTCCGCTTTCTGTAGTTTTATCCGCAATTTGTCCGCTTTTTGAGGATTTTTTGTTTTTGTCCTTTTCCCTACAATGAAGATTTTACATTTTCTCATAAAATTCTTGACTGGATGATTTGTCAAAACAATGCTTGTGCAACTTTTATAAAACAGATGCACACTATGTTAGGAACTAAATCAGAAATTTGCCCCGGAAGTGACTGGTAACAGGAAAACATTAGCTTGTCTCAAGTATTACTGAAGGGGGTGTGAAAAATAGTGAAATGCTAATTCTTTAAGGAAGCCAACTCGATCAGAAAAACTTAACCATTAAGTGCTGCCATAGGTGGGAAAGTTTCGAATTAAACTTTATCCTGCTATACATAACTCTTGAAATTTATGACGACTGATAAAAAATAGGGCTGCAAACATTCTGTGTTCCTTTTTAGCGTTTGAACGTGAATGTTAACGCACGTTGACGTTCTTTGAACGTGAATGTGAGTATTCTGGCGAACCTGAACTTTATTTTATATGACAAAGAAAAAAGTATGTAGTTACGGAAATGGTTTGGACCAAGGAACCTCGGTCCCGCTGCAGGAAAAACTCGTCTCGTGGTCAGGATATATTCAGGATATATTCTTGAAAGAATCAATATCTTGATTAGAGAATCAATAGCTACCAATAACCTGCTCACTGCTCTGAGCAGACCATCTGATCGTTCACTAGAGTTTCTGTTGATTAAATAAGACCAAGTAGAAATATATATGTTCTTACTACGGTACAAGAACAGAATTATATATTTACCTCAGACAATATGAACACCGTTAGTATAAAAGAAGCTCACGTTCACTAGTGCTTTAGTGTTCACGTTCAAGGAACGAAACGTGAACTTTACAGGCCTAATCAAAAACGCGCATCCACTAAAAGCCAATATCAATTCAAATTGGGATTTAAATGATATCTAGTACTTCTTTTATGTCTCTTAAGTGGAACCACCATAAAGCGCTAGGGGATACTTCCGCACAGGTCCGCCCACTTTATACACGACCTAGAGTCGGGAAGGTTTGAATATATGCAATCGATAGTCCTACTGAAGGAATGTAAAGACCCTTGTTGCCCCATGGAAAAATTATTCCGAACACGGGTTTTCCTCGGCCATAAGTTCTGAATTGAAGCGTTTTTAGGGGGATCAGAACAGCGAAATCTGACCTTATCTAATACTATCAAGCGTTCTCATACTGTTGAAAAGAGTATATGCAAAGCTTCTATCCGCAAATGAGATTTTCTCTTCTGACATTCGCAAAGAATTTTTGACTGGAGGACCTTATCTGCACCAGCAGATATCACTCGTTCTGTGATAGTGTGTTGGATGAGCTCAAAATCCAAAAAAACATAACTTTATTTATATTCGAATGAAAGCGGTTTCCAAGTTTGTTCGTATGACGCAACAATGAAGTCTCTAGTACTTTTTACTTCTTCGTGGTAAGCGTAACCGAGAGACTTACTTTGGCCCTTCCAGCCCTTCTCCCTCGAAAAATATCCGTCAGTTCTTCGAGATCTTGTTAGCTCACATATTACTCGACTAGTGCTACAAAAGGTGCAAGGTATTGACACTCTAGTACGATTGAACAAGTGTGACATACTCTACTTGTCGTTGACAATATCCTTGAATTTTCATAGTGATTAATCATATATCGTTTAACCATCATTTTTAAAACAGAATGAACAATTAAACTATTTATAAATCCTTCCTCATTTCGAAAATCTTGGATAACACCATCGATAGGACACTTGATCGAGAATGAACTAATGCTAGTCATACAACGTAAGCTTAAACAACATTTTAAACAAAAAACACATCCGCAGGGTATCACACGTGGATCATCAAAGAAATGTGCTGAATATAATGGACAACGAATAACGTCTTCGGCATAGAGTGGCATTATCTAAAAAAATACTCTATCATCATCCACTAACTACACTAAAAAAGTAATGTAAGAAATAACATATATCTAGAAAAGCAGGACGAACACAAATTTCAGAAAGTCGTTACATCAATTTTTTGCTCAACTTCTACGCCTTCCTCTGCCTAGAACATGGCGGAAGGGTTTAGTTATCAGTCATATTGAAACAAAAAGTTCGCCTTTTCGGGAGAATGATTGTAAGCATAAACAAAGAACTGATAACGTGCAAAAAGTATTCTCTGAAAATAAATTCTCGACAGAGAGCTTCTCACTGATTTCGAAAAAATTGAATTTCTCGGCAACGAAACAAAGTTTTCCGAAAAAGGATGCTTAACCTTTTTTCCACAAGTACCACAATCAGAATGAAGTAAAAGAAAGAATTTTATCTCCAAAATCGTAGGGCTACATAGGTTTGTTAAATTGACCGTTTTACCATTCTGCTCGTGCTTCGCAGATTCTGAGTCCGTTTTAGCTTGTAATATTCCCAAAACTAGCTTTCCAGACTCAGTTTTCGATGCAAAATAAGAAAAAAAAAGGTTTGGGGATTTCCAAAGATGATCAAGCATGGAAATTTCACCGTTATTTCCTGCAGTTTAAAATATCAGTATTTTTCAATTTTTTCATCTAAAAATGACGTTGAAAAATCTTAAATTGGTTTTTTTCTAGGTAAGTCGATGAGCTATATCCAACCATGCCCAAAAGAACGGAAACAAAAATCATGCTGTCTTTTTGAATTGGCAGCACATTATCTCGTTTTCATGTCACAAACTTCATTCAGGATTGGCAGGCGAAGGATAGGCTTTGGGTCGAACACTCAAAAAAATTTGGTATTGAGCCATGCTTATGAATCATACATTTTGTTAGAAACCTGATTAGTAAGTTGTTGAGACAATTTTATTTGAAAAGTTAATAGAGACTGCTGATCTCGTATTCTAGATGATCGTCTTGGATTTGTAGAGTACAATGTTGCAACTGCTCGATGTTTGTTGACTAACGAGTGGCGCAGAATAAAATGACCACTTTTGTTCTTCGTTTTCGAGGCACTTCGCAGTAGTCAAAAGAGTTGGTCCTAGGCTTATTCGATAGAGAACTGAATTCGCTACAAACCTGCTGTTTCAATCTCTGATAACATTTTCTCATTTGAGCATCATTCAAAATATTGGATGGTGCTGAGTTGTCGAACTGCGACGTGCTTTTGTCATCTTCTTTTTTGAGATTTTTAACCCATTGTCTGAGATTCACTAGTTAATTTTTCTACGTACAAAGATAGAATTTTATGCTTTATCGATCTTACTCATTTACAACTTCTACCATGTTTTTGCTACGTCAGCTGGACTCATAATTAGTTCCCAACTGGCTTTTCAATTTTTTCAAATTAAGGGCCCCTCAGAAATGGTGATTTTCGGTCAAAAAATCGGTTTTGAGATAAGCACATGGGAAAATAGCCCGCAGTGTCTACTTTCAGAATCTTTATCGCTTTTGGTTACAAAAGTGATTTTTCGCGGATTTTGAGCAAGTTTTCTAGGAGCCTCGAAAAACCAGGTCTTGAAATAATAGTTTTTTCCTGGATATTTATGCAATTAAAATTTTTCTAAACACACAGATTTGTAAAGCAAGCGTTTCTGATCAAAATAAGACCTCGTGCAGCTCTGTATGATCTTACATCAAATACTTACAAGCATTTTTCTAGAAGTTCTAAAATTGAGTATTTCATACAGCGTTTAATACAGCGTTTTCTCTATATAAGAGTTACACCTGAAGTATTTCCCAACATTTTTTTATAGCGGTTTGTCATAGAGAGTTTATTTTTTTTTGTTTAAAAGAGGAAAAGAAACTACATCGAATGACCGGCGCTGATTTTTCAATTAGGTTTTAGCTTTTTATCAAATTAAGGATTTTTAGAAAATCCCGAAGGCTTTTTCGCGTTTTGGAGGTTTTGTGTTGTCTGGAAAACCAATAAAGGCTTAATTGAAAAATCGGCGCCGGTCAGACCATGTAGTTAGGTGTCTAGCTTAAAAGAAAACAAACCCGAACTCTCCAGCTTGAAGTATATTAAAAAATCTTGGGAAACACTTCAGCGTCCTTTTTGAACCTTGATCTCTGGAACATCCCTGAACGGTAAGACTTGGCGACAAAAAGTTTTTTCATTCCCGTAACTCATTAACTCAAACATGTATGGAAAGTTTCGTCAAGATCGGATGTACGGTGTCGGAGATAATTTCTAGGGCAGGGGGCCCTTAAATTAACTTTTTTAATTAACGGTTTCAATTGAAAACTTTGTTTATATATCAAAAGACGTAGAATTTAATTCTGTGTGAGATAATAAGACTAAAACCTTGGATTCAGAACGTTTTACTGCTTTTATAGCCAAAAAACTAAAGTCTGTTAAAAATAGGTTCAAAAGTTAGCTTTTTTAAGAGTTATCATTTTTTTGCACAGAGAAATTTTCCTAGACGATTTAACTGCAAAATTTCGAACAATATGTGGGAAGAGGCAGAATTTTTCGGTGAATCTCCTAATGTCTTCAAAATTCTTATAAAATCTCTTTTTGGATCAAGGTAAATGTTTTTCTACTTTCAGTGTGTCGCAGTTTGACAACTCAGCATTCTTCAATATTTTGAATGGTGTTCAAACGAGAAAAATGCTCTCGGAGATTCAAATAGCAGGTTTTGTAGAGAATTCAATTCTCTATCGATTGAGCCTAGAACCAACTCTTTGGACTACTGCGAAGTGCCTCGAAAACGAATAACAAAAGCATTTTATTCTGTGCCACCCGTTATAGGACCAATTCGTTGACTCGATAATATCTTTTCCATATCTTCATCAGATTTTTCATCAGAGAGTATACTGAGACCATCTTGTTGAAACAAGTCTTTAGGAGCACCATGTTCCTGGAGTGTACGACGACCCTCGCATTCTGCTTTTCCCACATAACTATCCTTACAATAACTACATTCGGCCAGATAGACTATCTGACTGGAGGTACTTTGGAATTTTATCTTTCGTTTGAAAGAAAGCTTGTATAGCTGGTGGAGACTTTGAGACAAATCGCTAATCGATATCTGGCCGAACTTTCCCCGAAAACTGCGTCAGTCTCTTTTTCAGAGTTTATGTATAGTTCTCAGTATATGGGATTTTCCTGTAGATCCGTTTCTTGTCAGGTCCTATGATAGGTGCATTTATGTCTTTCTTTTCACCCTTATCTTTTCCAAACCATTTTGTAAGCCCTGTTCCAATTCGTATGTCAACAAATGACAATGCATAGCCATTTATGCTAGCAATATATCTAATCTGATCAAATTTATTGTTGAATTGAATAAAAAGAAGACTTATATTGCGCTTGACGCTTTGATAAAAGTTCGATGTGAGAAGAAAAAAATACTGAGCCTCACCTAGTTTCATGATGCTCCGCCGCCTCTAAAACGCGACATATCTCTTTTCGATTTTATCATGAGGAAAACACGAAAAATGGAAGACAAATTTAGATTTCTAGGCATATAGAAGCACATAAAGTACATTTAAAGAAATCTGAAAGATATATGAAGTATATCCAAGCACATCTAACACATGTGTGTAACACCTTACATATATTAGATGGAATAAGACTTCTCCTGTTTCATACCAGTCTATTAATCAATTTATTATGGCCTTTCATATAATACATAATCAGATTATCATTCATCTTTATCTTCACAGCATGTAATACACTGAGATAATTATGGAATTAACACATAGATTGCTGTGCCATAATCAGCGGAGCTCCGATAGGAGACTTCTTCTGCTTTCCAGAAAATTTACTGCGAAATTAACTTTATTCTCTCTGCTTCCAAGTTATCCGGTCGACTCCGGCCATAATTAAAGTGTGTTTTGGACATTAGATAAAATTTGCTCATGATTCCTTATTATAGTGATAAAGTTGAATACTATGGTTACATTGGATGTCAAGTTTCTATTGGATGTCTGCATTATACAGGGTTAGTTTGATGCACAAATCAAAAACAGCCGAAAAGGGAAAATATTTTGTTCAATTCTAATTGTCTAATATTCCACAAACGAACCAACTGTTAAAATGGAAATTATTTGAATTTGGTACGGAGTTATTTGTAATTTGAGTACATCTAGATGTTGAATTTTGAACGGTAGTTTATCATCGGTGTTATTATTTTTCTTTTTTCTTTTTATTTGTTTTTTTTTCATTTGTTCTTCTCTACACTGTAATCCTGAATTCATTTCCAGTTTATAGAAAATCGACCAAAAAATCGCCGGAGATTTTCTAATTTATAGAAATTTCTCGACGAATTTCCACCTTTCTAGAAAATGTTGATTTTCTACTTTATAGAAAATTGACTTGAATCTCTATAAATTTGATTTTCTATAAAGGGGAGAATCGCTGAGGATTTTCTATAAACTCGAAAATCCCCGATGGTTTTCCAGTTATAGAAAAAGCAATCGAATTTCTATAAATAATTTCCAAGGATCTGGAAATTCGATTTTCTATAAACTGGGAAATTCTCGAGAAATTCCTATAGGTACTCTTTGAAATTCAACGAGCATTTTGCATAAAGAATCTCCAATCTTACAGTATATATTGGTTCTCTATTTCTCTGCCCTAGTGAAATTTCTTGTAGTGTAAAAAGTACCAAGAAGACAAGATCTTGGATTCTTGAATCTTTCACTCAAGATCTTGGGAACAGAAATTTCAAGACCTTGAGTGAATCCATTCAAGATGTTGCAAGAGCTTGAGTGAACAATTTTCTTTACATTTTGTTTACTATTCAAAGACTCAATTTCTACTGTTTGACTTGAGTCATTGTTATTATAGGTCAAGAAACTCTCATGTATCTCACTTTTCGTGAATAAACTTAACTTAAGCTTCATCAAAATCTATGTTGAAGTCTTACATTTTTTTCTTTCAAGAATACTTTACAGTGAAAAGTCATGTTAGCTTTTTAATGTATTTTATTTTATCTAGATCCATTTTAAATAAAATGAGATATGCAAAAGCGCAATGCTCCTATACATTGTATATAATGAACACTCACAACATTAAGCGCTTTTTATTTTCTTGATCATATTTATTCACCACAGAGGCACTAGTCTATAATGGACAACAGAAAGTTCGACACTTAGTCCTAGCGTATCATAACCATCACAGGACTTTCTCCCGATTTTTTGAGGGCCAAGTCTGTCTAGAAGATTAGAGAAAGCAGTAAAGAGAAAGCACATTCTCCAAAAATTTCACTACCAAAAGGCTTACATCACATCCGCTTTTTTTCTTTGTCACGGGACGTGATGCGATAGGGTTAGTTTCTCCGCTTAAAATAAAAACAAGGCTCATGTGTATAATATTGTTCGTTTTTAATAGTTAGATAAAGATAATTCATTGTTACAAAAATACATTGGACGCAAACGGCCTATATACATATTACATCCTGATCTCGACAGAGAAAAAAAAGCAAAAGCCATACACCCAAAAAACTATAAAGATCTAAAACACGCAGAGAATGAGATGTATACGCATTTATCGAAACGTAATTACAATAATGCAAAAAGTTTTTCACCGTTCGAATAACCGGAAGGGATTGCTTTCTTAGTTAGAGAAGTTACTGTTTCAGCAGTGCTAGAATGAAAGTTGAAAAAAAAGTTTCGAATTTGAAAAATCTGACGAATTATAAAAACAAGTACGACTAGCATTCTATTTCAACAAACAGTTGACCATTATTTCGAAAATGGATTACTATTGAATTCTTAGATTTTAGTTTACTGATTTTAAATGTAGAACTGTTTTTCACTGCTTACATCTAACAGATGAAAACTAAAAATGTTTATTCGATTTCAGATCAGATTATATAGAATAAAAAAAATTCTCTTTGAAAGAAAAGAAAATTCATGTCTGCTATTTATAAAATTCAATTGATCCTATATCATTTCGTTTCTTACATCCGAGAATAATTCCATTATCTGGTGTTAACGTTATTCCATAAACATTTATTTGTTCGATTTGTTTCGTTGGACATCCATGTTCATCCAGTTGTAAAATTATATGATTTATTGATGTGGGATTTGAATGAGGTTCGATTTCTTCATCTAATTTTAATACCACGCAATTATCTTCACATAATAACATATTCCAAAGTCGATAAGTACCTTTTGAGCGAAATTGATTTTGTATCTCATCTATTTTTTGTTTTGTTCTCTTATCATAAATATGTAGTGATTGATTTTTTTTATCTAATATTCCAATGGATGTTTTATTTTGACATATTTTTATTGGTTCAAATTCTTTACCAAAGAATGATAAAAACGTTTGTCGCGACGACAATGATAATTCAATTTTTTGTGATTGATCTATTAAAACCGAATGATATACACAATGTTGATGTCGATCGATACCCCTAGAGTAAAATCATGATGTTTGAGCATTATGTACACAGCATAAGAAACAACTTACCATAAACAATTCAATTCAATATCAGCTAACAGATGACGTATAGGAAATTTTTGATGAATACCCTCATGAACTGGTACACCACGATGATCAAACACATAAATAGTACATGTATCGGTTTGGTCCGTTTTATGAGCAGCAACAATGATGAATGGCGTATAAACTGTGAATGCTTCGACAATTAATTGTTTAACATAAGTTTCTAATTGAAATGTGCGTAATGGCCGTGGTTGTACATTAAATTGATGATCATGAAACTGGTAAAGTCCAACAATTCCATGGCGATCACAAGAAAACAATAAATCATTCTTTTTTGATACAATGCATAAAAAATGTGGAACAGTACGAAAATCGACGGACCACATACACTGCATTGTTTCTAGTGGTGTTTTTGTCGTTGTTTTTGTAATCGCTGTTGTTGAAGATGATAACGAACATGATGCAGAGAGTAATCGTGATTTCTGAAAGTATACAAAAAATTATATTATGCTAGCCTACCAATGTTAAATCTTCATTCTCACGATTTCTGGACGTTCAACAAAACGTTGTTCTCGTTGTTCATTTTCGCCATTTTCATTGTATTCTCTATTATATGACCCATTAGTAAGAACATGAGTATTTTCGTATGTCGAACTTTCAGTTAGTGTTTTTGATATAAAACGCAATTCACCAAAAATTTTTGACAATTGCAATGAACTACATGCAGTTAACGATGGATACTAAAAAAACTATGAGCAGTATGATAGATGAAACAGAGTTTTTATACAAGGATAGCTGTTTTATTCACATGGATACTTTTATGAGAAAATTCCTGTATTAGTGATAGCGCCATAGAAGTAAGCCTTTTTTTCTAATTACCTTGATCGGATTTGTTTGCATTTGCTCTTCTCTTTCAGCTATTTGTTTCAACAAATCATTCATTTCCAAAATTATATCTTCATTATTGTGTGATGTATTTGTAGTTCTGAAACATGAACATCTATTATAGTCTATCTTTTTGCGAAAATAACTGTCCTTACATACCCAAATACTTGACTCAATCTTTGACGTATTGACTCATATTTTTGTTGAATATCACCATGTTTGAAACTGCAATAAAATTATAAAAAGAGTCAAGCACTATCGCACGACTGTATTTGTATTATACGTACGATGATGAAAGACATTTTAAACAGTTATCTATTTTTGTTAATAAAGCATCACGTTCATTTTTAATTAATTGTAGCAAAGTATTTGCACGTATATTGACATCAGTTCGTACTTTGACAAGTTCGTTCTCTATGGCTGATAATTCGTTCTCATACAAATCTTTGGGAAAGAAACAAAACAGCATCAATGTGACTAGATATTAGCTATCTTCTGATAAGAAAAAATAACAAACAGAGCACTTTCTTTCTTCCAGTACAGATATCAATTATATGATTTATTTTAAGAGGATTTATTTTTTAAAAATTTCTTGCTTCTTTTTTATATAAACCTGATAATTGATCAATAGCAGCATATTTTTCTTGACATTTATTCCAACAGTCTTCTAGTTTCTTATTCAATAATTTCTCATGTTTTGTAACACAGATATCACATATAACTTCTTCACAATGATTACAAATAAATAATTCGTTTTTTATCCAACATGAAGAACAACGGGCAATTACTACACATTCCCGTCTATTCTTTGCCATAGCATCAAAAATAGAAATCTAAAAATTATTTCAGATTAATTCGGTTTTATTTTTGTTTGTTTAGGATGTTACAGGAATGATAGAGTTAGTGTCATGAACACAATCACTTGTATGAGTCACACGACTAGTAAGAAAGTAAACATAACAATAAAGAAAAAGTAACAAAAAAAGAATAAAAATATCTGTAGGACAAGCCTTTAGACTAGTGTATTATACAAGAAAAAAAGAAAAGAGAAGGACACAAATAAAAAGAGAAATAAATAAAAAGGTATGACAAAATATGAACAATTCGGAACAAGTAGCGTTCTAACTGTGTAGAAAAAACTGATATAGTTGAAGAAATGACTACTGCGTTTGGTAAACTATTCCACTCTTTAACTGTTCTAACCAAAAAACTGGCATCAGCAGCAAAAACATCTTTTGTACAACGAAGAACTGCGAACATGAGCGAGTTGCCTCTTTGGACCAAGAATCGTTTTTGATCACGCCAGTTTGTAGAGTGAGTCAAATTACTCAAATGAAAATTTTTTCGTCGCTATTGAATAAGTTATATCGAATAGTGGAGTTCTAGTGATTTAATTTATTATATATACTATACTGATCCGTGGTCTGACGTTCCATACTTTGAACTCTTGTGATTGATAATTTGACAGGCTACTATGATTTATGAAGCAGTGAAGAATGGCAATATTATTTCATGATCTACTTGTAATATTACAAAAAAAGCGCATCATACCAGCGGTGCTAGTTCGGAAAACGTGAAAGACTTGATTTTAAGCTAAAACGTATTTAAAAAAGAAATATACTTATTTATGTTTCAAGATAATTAACAGACGTTACGTGACGTAATTACGTCTCTGTGTGTACTGATGCGAATAAAATTATTTTCTGTGCTTCATTTTGTTCTCTGGCGGCCTAATGGTTACTCTCATTATTCTTCCTTTTTCTCTAAAGCCCAAAACAGAAAATAAATGTTTTTTTTGTGGAACCTAGGCATACACCAGTTACAGTTACAGTTAACTGTCATAACCGTATAATCCTGGAAACTGTAACTGCCGTAACTATAACTGATGCATACCTATATAGAACGAACGCTGCTATTAACCAGAAAAGTTCACTAAATGTTTTTTAATTTCAAGTTCAACTAGTGATCAGTTTTTTAATTTCAAAACACTAATTAAAATACTATAACATCCTGATCCACGAGGCATAATTCTTGATACCATCTTACCCACTGCAGGGAGCTCTACAAAGTGGTCTAAATAATGGCAAACAAAAATGAAGGTATGAACCTCCAGAAAGATGTTAAATAGCAAGAGAGCTCGTTCTGTTACGTTACAGTAAGAATGTTTGACCTTGTCAACAGTGCATCTGTTTTCTGCACGACTTAAATTCACACTCCAAACACGTTACAAGTTGCATACATATGTAGATAAGGCCAAAGGTTTGAAAAACTTAAACTTTCCGTCGTTGGTACAAGTTTATTTTCGCTAGTGTGCGAGAAAGACTGAGACTAAAAGTCCTTGATCCTGCTATAGCGTAACCGGCTAGACGGATGCATTTGTTTGTTCTTCCTATGAAAACAAACGGCAATTGCTATGGCATTCGCTTAATTCACAATGTATCTATCATAAGCAGTGAAGTTACAAAGTTCTTTAGATTTTTAAAGTTCAAGTAATGTTCTGACGTTCAAGAGTATATGTCATTGTTTATGACATTGACGAATCGTGTCAATAGTCTTTTATGTAAAAATTAGCAATATCTGCTTCATCATTTACACTCTGACGTTGATATATACATAAGTGCTTTTTTCAACGATGGCGAAAACAAAGTCGTTCAGAAAAGTAATTCATACTTAGTATCACCTAATAAAATTAATTATTATACTGCATTGTCTATTGAAAATATGCCAATATTCAATACAATAAAAAATTGTTAGATCTTCTCTTGCTCTTTAAAGTTACTTGCGTTTTACAAAGGTGTTTAGTGCATAATAAGCATCCAAATGTTCTAAATTTACATTTTCTAATTCATTCTGCAGTAAAATATTTGCTGTTCGCACTATTTAAATGTATGTCTCTTTATCTGTACAATACAAATAAACAAATGATTACAAAAAACAACAACAGGAGTGTGTTCATTATGACATTTAAATATGAAAACAACAAATACCATAAAAATGCATTTTTTTACACATGAAAACGTCATCTATACAAACTAAATCTGTGCGAGTGAGTGTACCACATGAGATAAAAAAATGAAGTCTTTGAGGAAGAGAAAAAAACAAGTCTGTTTAATTTTTTAAAGAATGAACGCTTAAAATTTTACTATTCTTAATACACGCTTACACTAAAAACAACCGAGATTCAACAACAGGAAATTGCTCAGTTGTTCTTTTTAAATTCTAATCAGTCAAACAAATAAAGTTAAAAAGAGGACAATCATGTACAAAAAAAACAAGCTGACGATATCGTTACTTAAAAAGAAGCAAAGCAAATTTATCTTATTTAAACAAAATTTGTTTACTCTTATGTAATCAGAGCTAAGGATGCAACGATTAAAACTGACTTTTTGAAATAATAAAGAAAGTGCGTAACACATAGTTTTTCATGCATATGCACTACTATGATAGTCTTTGTTAAACAAATACACTCTATACAATACATGGACGAAGATTTATTTACGTGCACTGAGAGAATTTTCCTGAAAATGTTAAAATCAAAAAAAACAAAAATAACTTTTTCAATGTTTATATAATTGATTGATTGTATTTGTAAATTCCATCATTGCCACTAGGGATATTAGAAGATTTTGATGATGTTTTCATTTGTTGTAATGTATGTTCATATCGGTTACGCATATCAGACATTCTGTTCCAATATTGAAGTTCTAAACTAGTTCGCATTTCATTCACTTGTTGAGCTAAATAATTAATAAAAAATATACTTGATACGATCATCTGTGGTATGTTTCCACTCACTTGTTATTGATCGAAGCTCATTTATCGATGTTCGGTAGGCTCTTCTTGTTTCATCAAGCTCTTTTTCATAACGCCGCCGATTTGTTTCTAATGCTGCGTCTATTTGTGCAGAAAACTCTGTCATCATATGTTGAAACTACAAAACAAACGAAAAATTAAGCTACTTGTTTGATTCAGAGAAGTGTTTCTTATACTTTATCGCTAAAATTATTAATAATTGTTTGAATTTCATCTGAAGTCCTCCTAAAAAGCAATAGAGAACGTTGGGTACTAGTTAAATCAACAACTACATTTGCCTTACGAATCAGTAGTCGCTCGAATAGGACAATTATTTAATGGAGGTATCTAAAACAACAGATAAATCAACAAATTAGCATAAATACTTTTGAAGTAAACGCGATCTACATACTCGAACAAAATGTCGATTGGAAGGAGATAGAGAGATTGATGGTGAAGTAGAAGTAGCTGTATAATTAACTGTACTTGATCTACGTGATTGTTGTTGTTGTGGATTGTGAATGGTAGATCCACTTTGATAATCAGAAAATTGCAAGGATGGTGAAGAAGTTTTGGAATCCATACGTTGGGATGAACTAGCTGGCGTCCTGACATTGGTTGGAGTAGTACGAATTGCTGGTTGTTGTTGGGTATATCGTTGTTGAAATGATGATGGTGTTGTATCCGATACTCTTGTTGCAGCGGTTAATGAACCGTTTATTGTGGGTCTGACAGTATTTCTAGAATGCATTGTATTAGTAAGTGGATGAATAGTTTTACTACTGATCGTCGAATTTATTTGATTAGCACCAAATGGTAGTAAATGATGTTCACGATTCGATCTAGTTTCAAAGTTCAGTTGACTAACAGACTTCGTAATTGTCGGCGAAGTGGTTGGCGATGGTGGTGATTGAGCCATAGCTAACGGTGATATTCGTTCGTAGATTGTGTCGATTGGTTCCGATTTTACGTTTTGTGTATCAATAGATTCGAAAGATGCAGAAGTACCGTTCAGTGGTCTAACTCTAAATACGGGAAGTACAATGATAGAAATTACTGGAAAATGGTAAAGGCAGTATTTTCTCTATGAATAGTCCAATTAATTTTAGACAAGAGCTAGTAAGCACTAACCTTAAATGTGATGAGTCTGTATATGTATCTTGAACGACTGTGACCGGTTGTTGTTTTGTTGTGGAAATTTGACTTAGTAGCGATGGATGTTCAATACTATCAGTATTTGGAGAAAGCAAAACTTGTTTGGGCAATTGTTCCTGAGAATAATCATTCAGAATAACTGTCTTTTGTACTTGATTATGCATTAACATAGAATTGTTAACGTTATGAACAGACGGAGTAGTAATACGTTGTTGTTGCCGAGATTTTCGTGAATGTTTTAAAGTCATTCGTTGTGGAATAATATTTGGTGTTGTGTGATTAAGTTTTAGTGGTTCTACTTTTTTCTGTTCTAACTGTTGTTCTTCACTTGAGTGATTCGGTAAAAGACAGTCACTCAAAACAACTACTGCTGCTAATCGTTCATTATCGCAAGTACTACTTATGAAATTGGTGTTAGTTGATTGTAATTCTTTACTGATTGATGCTGCTGCATCTTGTTCTAAAGTAGTGGATGATGGTGACGGGATGTCTAGTAATTTTGTGGTATGTTCAAACGTAGATGATAACAGAGACATTTTCATACTGCTACCAATACCATTAGACAACGAAGACGATACTAAAGAGTCAACAGCACTTAATAAGGCATCGATTGTATGTCGTACATTCATTTCAATTGGATCAACACAAACTGAACGATCAATGTATTTACTTAACAGCGCGTGTATATGCATTTTTGTATCGGGTGAAATTGATGATGTAGCAGAAGGAACTAATAATGAATGTTGGTTAGCAAACTGTTTAGCATTAGCAGCCGTACTAGTAATACTACCATTCATTTTTGTTTTCATTCGGCTATTTGAAATGTTAGATTTCATCGGAATACTAAAAAATGAAAAGCAAAATAAATATACTATAAATAATCTAATATAAGCTCAAAAAAACAATCAGAATAGTCTGAGTAATGTAAATAAACTCCGCTCTAAAGTCGTAAAATATACAGTAGGTGTTCTTATATGTTCACTGCTGATATTTCATATTTCATTTTAGTTTCTTACGAAATTGATGTGCCTTCTTTTGAAACTTTTTCTAAGGGTGAATCTGATACGGAGGTTTGTTGAGGAATACCATCTTCATCATATTCTTCAAATAAATCAAAAACATTATTCGATGATGAATCTCCCAATTCAACTGATGTTTTTGTACTATTGTTCGTTGTATTCAATTCAGGGCTGTCTATATCATTATTAGTGCTTTTCTGTTTTAGAATTTTTCGTTTTTCTCGTTGAATAATCGTAGAATTATTAGCTTCTTCTTGTCTTTGACAATTATCGTCGTCGGTGTCATGCTCATCATGAATACTACTATGTCCGTTCGTGTATGACTGTTCATTATCATTATTTTCAATTTTAATTATATTAGTACGTGATGAACGTAATATAGTATTGTCTTTTTTATTCATTTTTTTTCCGAGACATTTTGATGTCAATCGTGCACGTTTTGGTGCCTCTTGTTGTGAAGATGAATGAGAACGTTCATGTCGACGTTTATTATTGATAAGATTGTTCGATGATGAATTCAATTCAAGAGGATTATCTCGTTGTTGAGTTAAACGGTGTTTTAATGGCTTCGATGTTGAACGTACAGTATCAAAAACGTAACTTGCTGGAACACTGTCTAAATTTAAGACAAAAAATATCGTAAAGAAAGGATTTTAAACAGTTTCCATGTAAAAGATACGTGTATTGACACCAATAGGTAGAGATTCCCCAAGAAGAAAAAAGTAGACTTAAGTCCTTATCATAGATTTTCAAAGTTCAGCTAAATTCACATAAATCACTAAAAGTCTAGAGATTTACATGGACTTTTACGAATCTATGTAAAGCTTACACAAACATTTGTGGTTTTTGAAGGCTTTCGTAGACTTGTAAAGTTTAATGAAATTTATAAATCCATATAAAAGTCCATTCGACTTTGTACTCGGATCGAGTTTAAAAGTCAAAGTAAGTCTATGTCAGTAAACGCAAGTTCATCAAAAGCCATAAAAGTATGAAAGTTCAAAGTCTACCTTTTCCTCTTTAAAATTCGCATAAATAAACTTTTTGTCTCTGTGCCTATTTATGACCATTTACTTTTCTGATCTATTTGTCGAATCTATTTGTGTCTGTGTAAATGACATGTTTTTTATAATGCATCCTTCTGGTTTATCAACTATTTCTTATTTAAGCGTAAATCTCAAAATTCTATTCTTTGTAATAATCAAAAGAACAATGTATACGCTTTTTTCAGTTTTCGTTATAATTTGTCAAAAATTGAGTTGGTTTAAGCTTTAATCTTGAACCAGAACGAAATCGAGAATATAAATTCCCATTATATCATTCTGAACTTAAACTATCAAAACACAAAATCAATCCTTGCACGAAGCTAGGATCGAACATACGAACTTGATCTTTGCAGACGAACTGCAAAAATCAACTTCGCTGTTCTTTCCTATATTCTGCACAATGATTGAAGTTGTGCAATGACTCGATGTTATCCTTCAATGTGTATTTTTTTATTGTGTTTTTGTGTTTTGTTGTTGGTTTAAGCTTTAATCTTGAACCAGAACGAAATCGAGAATATAAATTCCCATTATATCATTCTGAACTTAAACTATCAAAACACAAAATCAAACATTTCTCTTCTTTATTTTTTCCCCGCATCGCTCGAATTTTCCCTGAAGAAAAGGAATAAACGTATGCATGCACTGGCACGTTCTGTACACTTCTCGATTTCAAGCAATACTCGATTATTAGTGGTACGCAATCTAATTTTCGTTACCGTTTGTAGCACCCTCGCGAGCACAGAAATCGTGGCCATGCAGATTACCGTAGAATACAGTACAAAAATTTTTCAAGAACAGTCTAATAGAAACGTAATATAAGTAATATAAAGATATAACTGAAAATGGATATCTACTAGGAACTTACCGTCAATAATAGGTACAAATTTGAACTGTTTCTTTTTATTTAGTGGTGTTCCTAATGGTGCATATGTAAAACCACCAAAAAGCTTTGTAAGACGTTCAATATGCTGTTGTACTTCTTGCATACTATTTTCAAAATGACTTCCATAACGTTTCGATGGTCCAGGATATTCTTGACTGTATACTAGACAATTGTTGATATTAACCCATGCGCTGAAAATGGCAATCGTATGAATAAAAAATTTAAGTAATAATTATGCAAAAAATATACCGGTCATGTTGTCCAAAAAATCGAACATCCACTTCATCATTAACAATTCTCAAAACCTACATATTTTCAAATAAGAATGTTGTATTTAGATTTAACAATAAACATGAAAAGTTAGTCTTACTTTAGCAGGCCAAAATGGAAATCCTTTCATTTTTGACCAAACCAGTGGATGAGGTACATGACACGGTTCACAAAACCAATTCTTTGTAGTTGATAATACACTTCGTAGATAACATTCAGGACATATTGAAATTTCATTCATTTCATGTTTTGCTATTTTCACCAACGAACGTGCAACAGATGTAAATTTACTATTACCTGAAATAAAAATTCATACTCAAGTAAGTTGAATCGTGACATTGGAATATGATGTGAATGAAACAAATACCTCCATTAAATACGACACAATTGTGATAAATCCATTTAACATCGGCTATAAATGCTTCCGTTGATGCATATTTTTTTATTTCAATATTCTGTATAATAGGAAAATACACAACAATTAAACCGAAGTTTGAAGTTGTGAAACTGTATACCTTTTCCATAGTTTTCAAATCCATAGGATGTACGATATAGTCGAGATATTCTGGCATTTGCAATGTGTCTACTGGATACATAAATGGCTCAGCCTAAAAGAAAGAAATTACATTAAGTTTTTTGCTGTCATCGCATCATCTATGCATTCAGTATGTTTTGTTAAACTAAATGATGAAATATATGACCAAAAATGTAATTTAAGGATATAGTCTGGCTTCCAATTGCACTTTTCTGAAAAAAACAGGAATCAGAAAAAAGTTCAAACATTTTTCTACGAAGATTTAGATTGAAAAAAGAGGATACGATAAAATCGCTAAAATTTAAACATCGAATAACATACACAGTTGCCATAAATTCTTATTCACATTGGTATTAACGATTTTCGTGATTAAGAAATAATATTTTCGGATTTTGAAGGCAAAACTAACAAAAGCAATCTAGTACAAAAGAAACAGCTTTTTATTGACAAGTCCGTCAATACATATAATTGTATGATACGCATGCACTTATTTCAACGAAGATAAACAAATCTTTTTAACGACATATCAAATAAAAAACAAATAAAATTTGAAAAAAAAGTGAACAAATTTTTCTTCTTCTAACAGTTCTCTAACATTTACAAATCTGCTTGGTTCGGTTTATTCATACACTCAAAATATAGAAAAACCTGAATGAATGTACGATATAGAAACAATATGCTTCCAATCACCTCAAAAATCGTTTTTTCTCAGAGAAAAAATAGGTTAAATGTTGGTTGTTTGACGATAAAGATTGAATGTGTCACTTCGGATCTATGTGTATACTCCAAAGAAAATCAAGTTTTTGAAAAAAGATACTCAACAGCGTCGGATACAAATTCATTAGCCTCATTCTTAGACGTGTAAATGAAATTTTTCTTATTTTCTATCAGCTAATTCATTATAGTTCTTTTTGATTAATTTGTTCCTGAAGAAATGAACTGTACTACTTCTAACGGGAGTTATACTCGAACCGGGTCCGTCTACCGTTAGTGCCTGCTTTTCAAGGATATTTTCTTTTTTCTGCGTTGATTTTTATTTAATTTTACTACGGGTTTTTTATGGGATTATTTTAGCAATTCTTCAGAAAGAGCAATTAGATCAAAATCAATGAAAATGAGGACAGTAAGATAATTTTGTGCAATAAGAGAAGAACAAGAACCAATCGGAAGCTAGGATATTTTTCTAATACAAACATAGTCTTAAAGTTTCTATACAATGAGATAGTTATTTAGTCCAAATTTTGAAGAGTATACAAAATAATACTTGAATTATTTCTATGACCTGTGGATGAGATTTCATTCTTCTTAACGCAAATGTCAACATTGTGTGAAATTCCTGCATTGAATGACGTTTTAATGTTTCTGGTCGATTATTTTCGGTTGATGATGATAGAATTGTCTACAAATAATTAAAAAATTGTTGAAAAGATTAATAAAAGAGAGAAAAATAGCTGCTCATATTTTTTACCTCACATTCGGGACACATCCAATCTCCAGGTGGCAACTCAATTAATCCCAGACATCTTAAATGATAAACTCTTGGACACATTTCACAACAAATAACATCACCCTCTGTATGACATTCAAAGCAGTAAATATCATTGTGATCATCCTAGAACAAATGAAAGACCAATTTAAAAAATAAGTTTATTTAACAATGATTTATCATTTTGCTCACCTTTTCATTGGTAATTTTCTTTAATTTCACTGGTGGTGTATAGTCCATTGTGGTAGTTTCGTTTGTCTGATTCATACTGTGGGAATTATTGTTAATTTGTACATTCATCATTTACTTTAATTTAAATTGTCTTCTCTCATAATACTATCTGAAAAATTGAACGTAGTAATAATTTTTATATCTGTGCACTAAACAATACGAAAGAGTAATTATTCTAGTAGACTTTCGCGCCGTTTTTCAATCTGGCAAAAAAACGCCTGCTTATCGTCACGAACGCTAGATCAAACTAAAAGTGCAGTATTCCATCACAAATATATAAAGTAAAAGATCTGCCCGACATCTTGATTTGATTAAGCGAATAAACAACAAGAGAGCAAACGAAAAAAATGCATGAGTGTTTTTCCTTCTTCTCTTTTCTCTCCCCCCATAACATGACGAACACAATAAATGAAAACAAAAACACGTTTTTGAAATAATGTATTTTACTATGTGTATATCTTACGTAAAAAACCTAGAAAGAACAAAGCAAAAAAGAAAAGGACAAAAGTACGCGAAAGTAGACTACGTATAATCAACCAATCAATCTGCTTTCATACATAATATACATGTTAAATACATATTTAATACGTCCGCGGTCAATAAAAGTGAAAAACTTACTTGCGTAAACGAGGTCAAAGAGTTTAGTCTAAAAATAAAGTGGTGGACAGCAACAGTGATTAGATCCAGATAGAAGGAGTCAAATTTTACGTCTAATACTCTAAGAATAATCGATGATCTGCATCGTTTCTAACCACTTAATAACCAAAAGTGGATTGTATAAGTTTTTTAAATCTCGGAAAAAACCGTTAAACATATGTCTTTTCTTCTCATCTGCACAAAAAACACACAATTTTTTTAATAAACAGACATCTTCCTATTTCAAGAAGAAACAAAAGTTAATGTGTCTCTAACATTCGAGCATGTACTATGTTCATACGAACACTTTTAGTCAACTTAACGCTCGACTACTAAGAGTCAGCCGCACGTTATTCCATTCTCCTTTTGAAATCACCAGTATACCATAAAACTTTTAAACTATAGTCTTTCACGTCATTCTTCAATGTGACAAAAAAAGTGCTTACCTTTATGAGTAAAAGAATAAGCTACAAGTACGATGTTTTACTAAAAACATAAAAAAAAGATTTGATCGACATCTTGATTTGATTACGCGGCTAAACAATGATTAATATGATAGAATCCTCTTTAAACGTTTAATTCGCAGTAGAAATAAAAGCTGCTTGTTCGCTGACAGGTGCTTGTTTTTGTAAGAATATAGCACCAAAATACCACAACTAATTATGCGTACTGCATTATAAAACACCGATGTTTTTATATATATTGACCTTGAATACGAATTGATTCAGTCGGAGATGATAGATTGATTACATTAAGAAAGTATGATGAAAAGGGCCACAATTCTAATTATTTACATTCATAGCTACTTAATGAAATAATCACTTCTTTCATAAACTTTATCGATTTTTAAAAAATTCGAACTATTTCCATGAATTCTCTATATTGATTGAAAATCAAATTCATAAACGAGTATTTCTTCAGCATTCGCTTCATCGAACACCCACATAAAATTAACGTTTCTTTTCTACGCCACATCGTTGTTCTATACTGCAGACATCTAAAAAGAATAAGATGAAAATAGTAACATACACAAATATATACATGAAGGAATAAAGAAAAACATAAAAGAGACGCATATAATGAAATGGATGGATAGAATAGAGAAAAAATTTGCAGATTTCAGCGAATAAGAAATGCTTAACAGAGACAGAAAGGAGAGAAGAAAAAAAACAACACATCGATAAAGAGAATCTGAATACATCTATTTGTAGGTAGAAAAAAAGGCAGCAAAGAGACATCGATAAACAAACGCTTGAGTTTTGGGCGTAGTAAACAAACATACACACATGTGAGAAACTCGTGATTGAAGGATATTCGTAAACAAATAAACAAATATAGTCTGTATCATATATGTATATATATATATATATAAAGGGAGAAAATTATGTTTTTATAATAACAGGAATGAGAGTGTAAAAAGGCATCAGTTATCTCAAAAATCTTTTGAGTTGTGTAATAATCAGTTTCAAATCGAAAACTGCGAATCGAATCGACTAAATTGATCTTATAATGAAAAATAATTAAACAGTCACTAATATATATGTCTCGGTTAGTTTGCTAAAAGCATTTGAGATTTTAACTGTTTCTTTCAAACACCATGTTGATTATAAGTTTGTATTCCTCTATCTCCCTCATTATTCCTCGTTTGGAATATTACTAAATATCCATTTTTCAAAAACTACCGTTAATCACTGATACCGTTACTTTTCAGATTATTTAAATTTTACTTGAATTTTCAATTTAAGAAACATTATCACTTTCAATCTTATAAACAGCGTTGAATTTTAAATCTGTGCTGTTTCTATCATGACTAAGAAGAAAAGTGAAGAGCCCTTGAGATAAACAGACTGAATGCATGTCTAACAAATCATAGAATTGTCAAAATATATCCCTAATAAAAAGGCTCTCACTACACTAAAAACAGGGTCTTGCTTAGGCCAACTCTGGAAGAAAAAAAATAATCAGCATAACAAACAAATCTAAACAAAACTAAAAGCATCATACTATAGTTAGAAAAGTAATCCTTAAATGGTTCTTTCGAAGATATATTAATAGCAGTGTATAGCACAACGCAACAAGAACAAACTATTTATATTATCTGAAGAATTGGCCTTTAAAAACGTGATCGATAAATAATATTGTAGACTGTGAATATTTATTTTTTATGTTATTATGTCACTATTTCTCATTTCTTAACTCGATACATCTATGATTAGCTAAACAGTAATAGAAAAAAACAATACAAGAAAAAATTCATGCAAAAACAAACTAAGTGATGGACATACAAGAACAGAACTCATACTAAAAAGGCTGAAATTTCAGAATTGAAAGCGTATTTTCTAAAAATATTCCAACCATTTTTTGGATGAAACAAAACAAAGAAATAATGCTTGGTTTTTACATACTGTAGAATAAATACTTGGTGATAGTATTGATTTTAATTGGATCAATAAAATATGACGTTAATCTTGTTTTCGTAAAGTGCATGTTTGTTGCTACAGCGTTTGTTTGTCATTGCCTTTTTGCAATAAAAGCGAAAAACAATGACGTTCATTATTCTTCTTTCTTTTTCTATCGTTATATGCTCGCACACATGTATAGAGGATTAATACGTTCAGCAGAACAAATAGTAATGTTTCGTTGATTATTCTTCATATCTAAAAGTTAAAAAAACACTTAAATGATTTATTTATCGAAAATTTTTCATCCTAAGATTATTGATACTAATTAATACAACTAGTTACTATTATTTGCAAAAAATCAAACCTAGCTATTTGAAATTTTTTGCCAACAAAATCAGACACATTATTTTTCATTATCATCTTCAACACATACCATTATGAAGAAAGAAAAACTCTACTTTGTACCAGGAGGGACACGCCAACGTTTTCCAAACTCATGTTATGTATAGGTGGCGAAACAACGGAAATTGACAGAATTGAGGTTCACCAAGTTCTCCTATAAGAAAAACCAACCTCACTAAGTTTTCAGTTGTAGGACATCGGAATTTAGACTGTTTAATTAATTATTAGGTATATGGCATAGTTAGCTTATGAAGCTGAGATATAATTCATTGTTTGAACGTTCAGGGTAAATTTAAATGACTAGAAGCGTACTTCTCTTATGGGAAGAATGCTTTAATTGAGTTCATTTGACGGCTAACCTTCGGCTATAACAAAAGATCTAGTTTTCTCCACACGAAATGGATTGTGGATCGTCAGGTGGACATCAGATATACAAGCAGCATCAATATCAATCATGTTACACATCAACATGTCTAATCAGTTCATAATAATTCTAAAAGAAATGTAACTAAGATCAAAGAGAAAATCAACTTTTCCGTTAAAACACCTAGGGGTCGTATCACAAAAAAACTTAAGTAAAAATTTGGACTTAAGTCTTTGACTTAGGTTTTACCGTATCACAAAAAAACTTAAGTCATGGAAAATGTAGTCTTAAAGTTAAGACCGAAAACTTAAGTCGGACTTGAGTCATTGACGCATTTTTTGAATAGATCAGGCATTTAACAATACGATTCGACGAAAACGACATTCTAAGGATTAGAGAATAAATATTTCGTTATTTTGCGGATTTTTATCCGAAGTTTGCCACTGTTGTCAACGACTTTTAAAAAGTAAACAAAGCGCCAACTTAAGTCTTTTTCGTGATACGGTTTAAGTCCCCGGACTTAAGTCGGTCTTAAACTTAGACTTAAGTTTTTTCGTGATACAACCCCCTGTTTTTTAAGATTTTGTATTTTATTCTACAGAATTAAAACCGTCGTTTAAGTAGGGTATGCCGTAAAATTTCAAATGAGAGAAAGAATGTCTATGCGGTTTGAACTCATCTTTTCTCCTTTATAATATCACCACAAGCGGCAAGATTTATTAAAAACATGTACTTAACTCCCTTACAAGTTTTGATATGGCATCGTCCCTACAATTAAGGCTCACTAAGTTTTAATCCGCTCTGGCATCCCCATGAAGTACAAAGATCTATCATTGCTCAAAGCAAAACTTGAATGTAGTATTGTAGATTACACTAAAAGTTTGAAATTTTAATGCAAAAACGAATGTGCATGATAATTCAGTGTATGAGGATTAAAGTGTCACACTGGAATGCATTTCTAGAGCAAGAGATGCAAACATGATTGGTAGAGTTGTGAACATAGCAAACTGTTTTATCTGTGGCACACACTTTTGACCAACTCGTCAACATATAGATCGGGAGGGTGTTTCATAAAAATTCTTAAGTGCTCGACTTAAGTGTATAAAATTAACACGTAAGTATACAAAACAAAGACCTAAGTCTGACTTAAGTCTAGACTTCTAGTTAAGTCGAGCATTTAAGAATCTGTATGAAACATCTCCCAGATTCTTTGCTTCTGTATCAGACAGCACTCATGAGTCAAGTCACTTTCCGAAAACATGAAAAAATTATCCGCTTTACTTTTTCAAAGTTTCGTAAAAAAAGATGGTATCAGTAAACCTGAAATGGCAAACTTCGATAGTGTTGCTCTTTTTTGTCAACGAAACTGATAGAATATGACAATCCTCAACCTAACATGAAACAGCTACGATTTTCTTTGCGATTTGCATTATTTAATAATATTTTATTGATTAATAGTCGGATGAGAAGAGTTTAATAATAAATTTTTAATTGGTTCAAAACATTGAGCCAATCTTATTTCTAGATGTCTCTTGTTTTTAGTTTGATTAGTTAGAGGCATAGACACCAAATTGAAAAAATGGAAGAAAAAACATAAAAAAGAAAGTAAGAGATAAAAAGATAGAAATTTACCGAAACGATAGTTTATTGATATAATCAGATAAATTTTCTAAGATAGTTTTTATAGATTATATGGAGATAAAGTAGACTGTTATATTCTTATTGATAGAGAAACGAACTTGTAGCAAAAAAAATTGTTAACTAATGAAGTTTATTTGTAAAAGAATAAATGAGAAAGGTTTTTTAAACTTTATTCTCTTAGACTATACGCGGAAAAACTAGTTTGTACTGTATTATTAGTTATAGATTATACTGAACCCATTTAAGATGATTGTATTTAGTGTATGACGTCTACTCCAACTTGTGTTGTTTCTCTGGAAAATATTGATGTGAATGATTTTTGTTGTCCAAATTCTGGTAAGAATAAAGAATTCAATAAGAAAATGTTGTATTAACAAATAAGTTTCGTTTTACTAGAACCCGATCTGACAAGTACTCCCGTACAATCTCCTCTTTTGCCTAAACAAGAGAGTTTGGACGATGGTGACAGGTAGGATTTTTATTGATATTAAAACTATCTCGTCGATATTAAACTATCTCGCTGATAGTTTAATAGCATTTCTGTTCCTGTTTTCTAGACTTTTTGAAGGTGAAGAATCAACTGAAGAAAGTTTTGTAAGTTTTTGCATATTTTAGCTGCCAGTGGAATCGTTGTAAAAATATTCTAACGCTGTCAGAAACTGCTTTGCTTGTTTGATCGGTCAGTTGAAAATTTTAAGTAAATGGATGAACAGAGCAGAATCGAGCATTTTGAAATTCTTTCTTAGTCGTGAACATCCGCCGTGAACATCATAATCTAATGATTCGTCTATGAAAGCTACATATAAAATAACATATTAAATAACTCCTGTTTATATGGCAGTTACATCCTATACGCAACAGTTTCAATTTAAGTATCAAGTGTACAATCAGGAGGATCTTGAAAATGAACAAGGATTCATTCCGGGATAATTGTGAATTTTAGTATATACATTTCTGACTTTTCATAGAGCATCTTTTTGTGTTGTTATAATGATTGACATCCTGAAGTGCATTCAAATTTTTATTTTTTTTAATATTTTTTCTGAAAAGGAAATTTTGTGATTCAAAAAACTTGAATATAACTCAAATAATATATTGACTTTTATCTAATTATAAATAAGTCGTATTTGCGTTGGAAATATGAGAAAAATCTAAAATTTTTTAATGTTAATACCACACAATATAGCCGGACTGATGAACTGATAAACTGTTCAGCTTGAACTCTAATTTTGCCTCTATTCTTGTATCGTATATCATTTTGATTTTATTTTAGAAGGCTCGTTCTATTTCGAACCGTCCTCCAAGAACATTTGCTACAATGAACACTCAACATCAACGTTATAGAACAGCTACAATCTCTTCATTATCTAGCCCTCATAGTAGTTGTGATACGATTCAAATTGGATTTGATGAATCAAGTAGCGTTTCATTCGATGATGCAACTAATGCTGTTAAAACAATCGATGAGGAATCACTGTCATCCTCAACATTGATATTGTCTCAGTTAAATACTGTAGATGATAAAAAAATTGTATGTTTTAGCTTGAAAAGATTATTTTTTATTTAACAAGGTCTCTCTCTTGGAATAGGGAAAAAATAGTTTAACGTCAGCTGTAAGCTATCGGGTTTGTAAAGGCAAACCGTCGTCAATTTATCGTCGTGCATCATCCTCTAATGGTAGTAGTGGCTGTGTACAAAAAAAACAACTTGCACAACGCGTAAGTATTTCTTTATCTCTGCTACTTAATTTAAATCTTATTTGTGGTTGATAATAGACACGGAACAATGGGAAACGTCGTATACCAATTACAGCAACCGTAGTTTGTGAAGAACCGCTGCGGCGAGGAAGACCGAAGAAATCGAAAGAAAAAACGTTATCTGTTGCATATCCTTTCCAACAGTCGGCAATGCAAGCGAACACTGACAGTGACATATCGACAAACAAGGTAGACTTGAGCTCTACTTAAAGAAATAATGTTTGTTTAAACGGAAGTATCTGTTTCATACTGTAGACAACAGGAACCACATCATTGCCAAAACATTCAATATTCTGTGATGACTATTATACGGTTGGGGTGGTGAAGCGAGATGATGACGAACATCATGCAGTGACGGTTTTATGTTCAGCAGATGAACAATTCATACTTGATCAGGTATATTAACACGAAATTAAATTTTTTTTACGATCACCTATTGTATATTTAGGATATGTGTGTATGTTGTGGTAGTTTTGGTTTGTTGGATAAAGAAGAAGGTCGTTTAATATCGTGCACACAATGTGGTCAATGTTATCATACATTTTGCGCATTTGGTACTGGAGTGACAAAAGTAATTTGTATTATTCTATTTCTTTTACAAATATTAATATTTTAAAATTGAATTGTTTTATTTAGTTGTCTAAAGTTATCTTGAAAAGGGGATGGCGTTGTCTTGATTGCACAGTATGTGAAGGTTGTGGAAAAACAACAGATGAAAATCTGTTATTACTTTGTGACGATTGTGATATTTCGTATCATACATATTGTTTACAACCACCTCTCGATCAAGTGCCAAAAGGAAATTGGAAATGTCAATGGTAAAGTTGAAGTTGACAGGTTTATAGAATACAGGAAAAAGTTAGCATATACTTGATTTCTAGGTGTGTTCGATGCTTGAAATGTGGCTCAACGGCGCCTGGTCCTTCTCATAATGATTCCATTTGTTCGTGGAAAAACAACTATACTGAATGTGATCCATGTTATTCTGCTCGAGTTTGTTCTGTATGTAGTAAATCATACAAAGATAATGAACTTGTACTACAATGTGTTAAGTGTGAAAGATGGTCACATGCTATGTGTGAAAATATACCTAATGAAGATCGGATTAATGAACAATGGAATAATGATGAATGGACATTTACTTGTTTGTTATGTAAACCATCCTCTTCACTTAGTGATCAAACAGTTTTAATAGATCGTCAACGTAGAATTTCATCGTTCGATCAAGAAATCAGTGATCATTCATCGCCATCACCACCATTAGCTCAACCGAAACGAGGTATTTACGACGAAGGTGTTTATCTGACGGATTCTGGTCTATCACAATTGAAATATATTCGAACAAAATTAAACAACGCTATTTATTCACCACCACAAGTTAAAAAGTCGAAAACAGTAAAAAAACAAAATCAAAACGATGAACAAACTGTAGCAACTATTACTAGTAAAACAGCAGGTGTGCATGATGAAACAATTGTGAAAAAAGTGAATAAACTAGCAAAAGGATACTCAGGTTCGTGTAAAAGTGGTTGACAAAATGATTTGAAAACAATCTTATCTTCTTCATATAGGTATTGGTGGGTTTTATACAAAAAGTCATGGACGTTCACGTTCGAAACGGAATAATTCTGTGCATCAAATGGATGTTAACGTTTATGATGAATTTGATGATATGTCAATGCAACGTGGAAATAAATCAAATAGACGAAAAAGGAAAAGTACATTAGAAGAACATATGCCACCAGAAATGCAGGTAAACAGAAAACGAAGAGAAGAATTTTGCAGTCAATAGATCGAGAGCAAATGCCTACTTGCTTCATTTCGAAAAAAAGCTAATTAGTAAAAAAAATTTTCTTTTTGTTCAGGAAGCATTTTTTGGTAATAATTTAGTTGTTTCAACTAGAACATTAGCATCAAATAAAATGACAAATGATCGCCACAATAATATAGATGACTATATAATGACAAACGGAAGTTTGGCTTTTCTTAAAAGTAATGATAGTTGTGTCATGGATGAGAACAGTGGAGATATTCCAACGATAACGTCAACGACGTTAACAAATCATAATGATAATTCGATGTATACCATTCAACTTGAATCGGATATACTAAATAATTTAATGAAAAGGAAAAAAATATCAATACAGCAACAACAACAGCCACGAACAACTCAAGGAGGCGTTTCTAATGTTAAAAATATGAACGATGATGATGACATAAGTAAGTTTAATGAATTTATATATCCATTCAATTTTTTTTATAGTTCTGTTTCGGTAAATAATATCGGAAGAGTGATCGTTTCTCATTTGATCATTGGTTGATGCCAAAGTTCGTCAATGATTGATTTTCTTTTGTCTTTTCTTGTAGACTTGTTTGAGCAAGAGGGCTTCGAAGTTTTATTCAATTATTTTATGGGCAATTCAACAATTGAAAATGGTAAAAACAATGACAAAATCGTATACTGTATAAATGACATTTATTTTATTCTATAGTACCTGTATCATCGGATATTGAAGATTTTATTCAGTTTGTCACAGATGAACGTGACGGCACGATTGTTAACAGATGTAAATCGTAGTATATTGCTGTTTGTGGTTAAAACATCCTTACATTTATATTTCAGCACAATCGAAAGACAGCGCTGTACATTGTTCGAGAAGCGATCTATCTGTCCCAACGAACCCACTAACCACTGGTGCTAATGATAATTCAAAACAAATAATTAGCAATATGGCACGGGAAATGATGGAATCAACATTTGGAAATAATGTGACAAATCAGACTATAGCACAACAACAACAGCATCGTATAAACCAAAATATTGTATTGAACCAAAATAGAAATGAGTAAGTTGTGCACGGAAATGAATCATACAGTTTTATTGTATTATTAATAATTTCTGGTTCATATTGGTTCTTTATTAATCAATTCAACGGAAGATTTTTATTTTAGCTCTTTTGTGTGGATGCCAGTACATTCGAATGATGAACAGCAACTACATCAGACAAATGACCACAGTTTACTTAATGAAATTGATTATTTACGTCCAGTATCACAATATCAACCAGGTAAACTCATTTTTTAATTACTTCTGATACCATTGTCAGACTGTTTATTTTCTTTTTATTTACAGTATCACTTCAATTAGGAATGAATAATCATATTGGTAGTGTAAATTGTCTCAGACCAAATCAGAATGATCAATTATTTCAAGTAACACAAGCGGGTACACCTGAGTTTTATCTTCCACTCATTAAATCTGAACCAGGGACCAATAATGTTTTATATCATTCATTCACATCTAATCAAATGTTAGCGATGAGAGAGATGATATTAAAAAATCAAACTTGTCACACACAACTCGGGAAAAAGCATGAACAACAACAAAAAACAACTTTATTCCCGGACAAAAATGATTTGTTCGCACAAAAAGACTATTTTAATAATGATGGACATTTTATTTCTGATGGTTTACATTCATATGCTCACTTTGAACAAGTGACACCTGCACAATTTGTTAACAACGACAGTAGTGAATGTTCATTTCCATGCTTTGTGAGTTTGTTGTATAATAAGCTAATCGCTATTTTCTCATTGCTTTTTCAACATACATCATAGGCTCAACAGCAAAATTCATTTCGTCAACAACCGAGATTATATTGTTTACCACCACAGTCAGTAACACCACACTGTTCTGAGTATCAGACTTTGTTAACCGAGCAACAACAACCACAACAACAACAGCAAACTAAAAGATCTAAACGAGAGATCGTTTCCAGACCAAACAAACGTCGTTCTGGAACTCCGCCAGGTACATTAAAAAAAGAAAACCTGAAGCTTAATAATCACGTTCTTATTTTTGCTTTGTGTTCAACAGTATCACTTGACTGTGAAATTAGCGTAAATTCTGCAACAAAATCATCGTCGTGTTTTATACTACCTCTTCGGCAACCATCATCTCCTAATCAACAGGTATGCTAAAATGAGCTTTGCTTATATTCAATTTTTACTATACGTTTTTATTCTATTTGCAGCTTGAATGCTCACGATCCGATAACGTATTACCAATGACAAGAAAAACATCACGCATAGATTCAACGCAATGTAAATTTAAAGAACATTTTCTTTCATTATTTCAAAACTTGAAAAGAGGCAGCACGCTTTTTAGTTCTTGTTTTGTTCTAGACGTGGCAGCTGACGTTTTAGAAAAAGTAGACGAAGTTATTAATGATGTTATACAAGGACGGGGTGAAATTTCTGTGAGTGCTGGAACAAGTGAAAGTTATACTTCACGGCAATTTCAAACAAGTAGACGGGCAGCAGTCAGTTGTGCACGAGCCGGTAATCAATCAAATGACAATTTTCATTTACTGACGCATGATTTTGATTGGAGTCAATGTCGATCACCTTCTCTACCTCTTCTTCTTCACCATCACCATCAACAACAGCAACAATCACATGTTCTACCGTTTAATTGTCAAACAAAGGATTGCTATACGCATGTTATCAATACGTCATCCTCGAATTTAACAGAAACAACAAACGATGTTGTTGAACGTATTTCTTCCATATTATCAACGAATGAATCCAGATAATATATGAACGGGCTCTTTGTTTTGATGATAACTTTTTTTTTTCTAGAATAGATAGCCCTTTTCGAACTATATTGAATAGTACATATTGATTTCTTTTGCATTCTATTTTTTTTTGCGTGTCTCTAACATCAAAATTAGTAAACATGGTGTTTTTCGCTATAAACACTATGAATGTCTAACTTAGTATTCAGGAAGAACAGATATTTCTTGCTTTAAAGAACCCGGTTTGTTTGCTTGATATCCGTTTTTATTCCATATCATCTTTTATTTGTTTATTTGTTTTTACAGAAGGATCTGTGCGATTTTGATGGTTATTGTTAAATATTTTTCTTTTTTGTTAAACGGTCTTCACTGCTGATTTTGTTTTGAAATGAGGAAGAACAAAAAAAGTCGTTATGAAAGTTAAATTTCTACTGTTTTATTGCTATTCTATGACACTGAGTTATTTGAACATCGATTTGCGACAAAGGTTATTTGCGTTCTAAGTGGTTAGTCCGTCACATAATAAAAAGTCACTGGAATTTTCTGCAGTTCTATAGAGAGGATCACGCTCAACCGAGAAATTCACTCATCAATCAATTTTGAAGTATCCATTGACTATCTATAAACTTTTTCGTTCTAAAACTGCACTTATTCTATTTTAGATGGCTTTGTGCAGATATTATGCACTAAGCTTCTCCTAGTTTATGCAAACAGGGATTAAAAGCTATTTTGTTCGTTTATTGTCTTGTAAATAATTTATTTATTCAAGAAACAAGAACAGTATACCCCCACAATCGATGAAAAAGCGCTATCATTACTCAAAGAAACAATTAACATACGATCACCATCATTATTTATGACCGAATCAATTTCAAATAATATTGAAATTAAACAAGAAAATGTTTGTATTGGTAGTTCACCTGGAGATCTACGTATACAATCATCATCTACACCAAATCGTAATTCACCCATGATTCGTACATCAAGTATTGAGAGTTCAAATCCAATGACAATTCTTGTTCAAAATCCATTCGATGAGACTCATCATGTATCACCTAATGCAACATTATTACATTCGCCATCAAACGAGACAACATCGAAATTCTTGATCAATTCACCACAGGTATCGTCTGTAGCGCCTATTTCACAGTCACCATCGAAGCAACATAGTCTAACAAATTTGCATTCACCCAGAAATGTTGCCACACCAAATCAAATGATTGAACAAAGTCATTTGATTAATAATAATAATAACCCAGATGGACATTTAGATGCATCATCACCAAATAGACCACAACAAGC